CCCCAAAACCCCAAAACCCCAAAACCCCTTGAAGTTGAATTCTAGTAAATCTATGATTAATTAATTTTTCGGATGATATCTAGAAATATAATTATTAATGGAAAGAATGTCATTTTTATTCGGTTCAAAGAAGACATAAGTTGAGATTCAGCCTAATCCTTAGCAGTAGTAGAATAGTCAATAGAATTAAATTTTAACTTCTCAGTAATGGCAGTAATTAAATCAGGCTAGGCAATAATAATAACAACAAGCAAATAACTAGGTATCAGCTTAATAGATGGCTGAGTAAAATAGAAATAATAGCCAAAATATGAGAAATAATGATTATGATAAAGATAATGATGAAGAAGAAATTATGCCCGAGTAATTTATTAGTACAACTGCAAATGGAGATGGCTTGGAGTTTGACAAGAGACTTGGCAGTATTTTCGATGAGATTTAGAGAATAAAAGATCAAGATATGAAAGGAGGAGTATTAGGAATATAAGAAGAGGACCTAGGCTTTAAAATAGAGGACGTGCCTTCAAATCTTTCACCTCTATCTGTGCTTCTAGAGGTGTCATAAACTCTGGAATAGATCAAGTAAGATATCATGCTTTCGAATTAAAAAGAAGATGAGTATGCTAATGTACTAAAATCAATTAAATTTGGAGATTATGTAGAGAAAAGTTCAGAGACTCTTGCTTTAATGCTAAACAAATATCAATCATTTGCATAGGAAAATGATGAGATCAGATAAAAATTAGATACTATACAATAGGAGAAATTCAAGGTTGAATAAGATCTTAACATACTTAGGATTGACAAAAATCTAATGCAGTAAAACATAGTCGACTTGGACAATTAATTACAGCTCTACATAGAATAAAATAAAAGACTTAAAACTTAAGTTGATTATATGAGGAGGTAAAGAGAGGAGCAGATAAATATGCAGGAAGAGGAAAATCGGAAAGTAATTCTTGACACATAGACGAGCAAGGATAAGATTGAAAGACTAAAGGTAGAATTATACGATCTAAAAAAGAAATTCAAGAAGATAGAGAATTTTAAAATGCTGTATGAGGATCTGAAGCAAAGAGATAGTGAAAGATAGTCAATAGAAATTTAAGAGAAAACGTTTAAGGAACTGAAGAGAATAAAGGAGATGAGGTCTTTGATAGGTCATTTGAAAATAGCGAAGCAGTAATCTAATATTCATAACAGCCCATCAAATAATTTGAGTCTAATTGAAGTTTCACCCTTCAGCAATGGAACTTTCCAATTTCTTCATATTAAGGATGTCTTAAATCTTACCAGCTTGAGTAGAAGAGTGTCTGGTGTATTCCTTAAGAATAACTCAAGAGTTTTCATTCACTTAATGAACAGAAGAGCTTTTGAACTCAACTAGAAATATTAAGAAGTGTCAGAAAAATGTGAGGTGCAGCAATTCGTTATTAAAAGAAATGAGACCAGAGATCAAATTAGACAAATGATGGCTTCAGATACAGGCGATGAAAAAATTAGGCATATTATAGATAAGCATGTAGTCTAGCCTCATCTCAAATAACTTCATGCTTAGAATCAAAACATTGATATTGCAAGCACAAGTGGTAAAGTCACTCTAGAGGTCGAAAGGGCATTAAAGATAGCGACTGAATTCATGGCTCAATATCTTGAATAATTAAAGGCATATTAACTTCATGAAATCAAAGTTAAATAAGATTAATAAAGACAATTACTCCTATAATAACAATAAGAGGCTGAGAAAAGAATAAAATAGGAGCAGAAACTCAAAAAAGAATAAGATAAGCTAAATGAATCAGTAGATGGATAAAAGCCGAAGAAAGAGGGTTACAAGATTGTTAAGGCTGGAAAGAAAATGTTCGGAGCCTTGTCATATTTTAGTGGTTATAAATCATCGGCATCAAAGAATCTTCCAGAGGAGTAAAAATTAGAGGAACAAAAGGTTGAAGAAATAAGTACTGAACAAATAGAGTAAGATGCTTAAATATAGGAGCAAAGTAATGAATCTGAAAACTAAGTAATTTAGAATGAATCTAGTAATAGTCAAATTCAAGAATCATTGAAAGATGAGAAATAAGGTGAAATTTTACAATAATAGATAAATGAACTAAGCAGCGCTTAGACTATAGCAGATGATGGATCTTAATAATTATCGGAAGAATCCAAATAAAATCCACAAAATTTTAGTATTCAAATAAGTGAGCAACACGTATCAGTAGAAGGTGACTAGATGATATAAGATAGTTCTCTCCAGAATATTGATCAAAATCAGGCAATGTAATAATAGTCTGCAGTTCCACAACCCAACTTCGATGATTTAGTGGCTTAAGAAGAAACCATAAAGACTTTGGATTAGATTAAAGACCCAGAAGAGATGAATGACTTTTTAGTTAAAATTGGAGGATTTCTATTGAGTGATAAGGGAAAGCTCACTCAATGGATTAGAGGTGTGCAATAAGGCTTTGCGTAGTTCTACGTACTCGCTAAATCTTTATACATTGAGTCGAGAGAACTTGAAATTCTTAGAGACTTCTTAGTTCTCAGAGTTGAGAATATGAAATTAAGAATAGAGGACTTGCTGAACCAGAAGGAAGATATGGCTGCTATTCACAGTAGTGACTCAACAGTAAAAGAGCATTTGATACAGAAAATGAATGAACTTGATAAACTAAATATGGAAAGAACAACTGAGTTATTGTTCGAAAAGAAGAAAGCATAAGAACTTGAGTCAGAGAAAAAGGAATTTGATGAGAAATTTGAAAAGTCTCAGAAGGAACTCAATGATTTTAAATAAAAAGTTTCAAGGGAAGTTAAGGTCTTAAGGGAAAGAGTAGGTAAACTTACTGATGAGAATGTGATTTACCAAAAGACTATCGAGGAAATGAAGATATTCTTCAACAAAGTCAACATGCTTTGATTAGGAATTGATTCAAGTTATCATTAATTGCAATAAAATTTGATATTCCGAAGATATGCTAAATTGGAGCCTGGGGTTTTGGGGTTTTGGGGTTTTGGGGTTTTGGGG